TTTTTCGTTTTTCCCCTATTTACTCTTATTTTCCTCGACTTCTTAATATGTATATGATTTTGCTTCGAAACGCGATGGTGCAAGAAAATATATGCTATTCACATCAAATAATGGTGTCGTGATTCAAAACAAGCCTTTCCGGAGATGTTGATTATTTTTTCGTTTTTGCCCCTATTTACTCTTATTTTCCTCGACTTCTTTAAATGTATACGAATTTGCTTCGAAACGCGATGGTGCGAGAAATATATGTTATCCACTTCAAATAATGATGTCGTGTTCGAAAACAAGCCTTTTCGGAGATGATTGTTTTTTCGTTTTTTCTCCTATTTACTCTTATTTTCCTCGACTTCTTTAAATGTATACGATTTTGCTTCGAAACGCTATGTTGCGAGAAATATATGTTATCCACATCAAATAATAGTGTCGTGTTCGAAAACAAGCCTTTCCGGAGACGTTGATTTATTTTCTTTTTTGGCCATATTTACTTTTATTTTCCTCGACATCTTTAAATGTATACGATTTTGCTTCGAAATGCGAAGGTACTAGAAATATATGTTATTCATATCAAATAATGGTGCCGTGTTCAAAAACAAGCCTTTTCGGAGACGTTGATTTTTTTTTTCGTTTTTACCCCTATTCTCTTATTTTCCTTGACTTCTTTAAATGTATACGATTTACTTCGAAATGCTATGGTGCGATAAATATATGTTATCCACATCAAATAATAGTGTCGTATTTGAAAACAAGCCTTTCCGGAGACGTTGATTTATTTTTTGTTTTTGCCCATATTTACTCTTATTTTCCTCGACTTCTTTAAATGTATATTTTGTTTCGAAAGTCTATGGTCCGAGAAATATATGTTATCCACATTAAATAATAGTGTCGTGTTCGAAAACAAGCCTTTCCAGAGGCGTTGTATTATTTTTCGTTTTTCCCATATTTTCTCTTATTTTCCTCGACTTCTTTAAATGTATACGATTTGCTTCGAAACCCGATGGTGCGAGAAATATATGTTATTCACATAAAATAATGGTGCCATGCTCGAAAACAAACCTTTTCGGAGACGTTTGATTATTTTTTCGTTTTGCCTCTATTTACTCTTATTTTCCTCGACTTCTTTAAATGTATACGATTTTGCTTCGAAATGCTATGGTGCGATGTATATATGTTATCCACATCAAATAATAGTGCCGTGTTTCGAAACAAGCCTTTCCGGAGACGTTGATTTATATTTCGTTTTTTCCCATATTTACTCTTATTTTCCTCGACTTCTTTAAATGTATACGATTTTGCTTCGAAACTCTATGGTGCGAGAAATATATGTTATCCACATCAAATAATAGTGTCGTGTTCGAAAACAAGCCTTTCCGGAGACATTGATTTATTTTTCGTTTTTGCCCATATTTATTCTTATTTTCCTCGACTTCATTAAATGTATACGATTTTGCTTCGAAATGCGATGGAGCGAGAAATATATGTTATTCACATGAAATAATGGTGCCGTGTTCGAAAACAAGCCTTTCCGGTGACGTTGATTATTTTTTCGTTTTTGCCCCATTACTCTTATTTTCCTCGACTTCTTTAAATGTATACGAATTTGCTTCGAAACGAGATGGTGCGAGAAATATATGTTATCCACATCAAATAATGTTTTCGTGTTAGAAAACAAGCCTTTCCAGAGACGTTGATTATTTTTTCGTTTTTGCCCCTATTTGTTCTTATTTTCCTCGACTTCTTTAAATGTACACAATTTTGTTACGAAACGCGATGGTGCACGAAATATATGTTATTCACATCCAATAATGGTGTCGTGTTAAAAAACAAGCCTTTCCAGAGACGTTGATTATTTTTTTATTTTTGCCCCTATTTACTCTAATTTTATTCGACTTCTTTAAATGTATCGTGTTCGAAAACAAGCCTTTTCGGAGACGTTGTTTATTTTTCTGTTTTTGCCCCTATTTACTCTTATTTTCCTCGACATCTTTAAATGTATACGATTTTGCTATGAAACGCTATGGTGCGAGAAATATATGTTATTCACATCAAATAATGGTGCCGTGTGCGAAAACAAGCCTTTCCGGAGACGTTGATTATTTTTTCGTTTTTGCCCCATTACTCTTATTTTTCTCGACTTCTTTAAATGTATATGATTTTGCTTCGAAACGCGATGGTGCGAGAAATATATGTTATCCACATCAAATAATGGTGCCGTATTTGAAAACAAGCCTTTCCGGAGACATTGATTATTTTTTCATTTTTGCCCCTATTTACTCTTATTTTATTCGACTTCTTTAAATGTATACGATTTGGTTTTGAAACGCGATGGTGCGAGAAATAAATGTTATTCACATCAAATAATGGTGTCGTGTTCGAAAACAAGCCATTCCGGAGACGTTGATTATTTTTTTGTTTTTGCCCCTATTTACTCTTATTTTCCTCGACTTCTTTAAATGTATACGAATTTGCTTCGAAACGCGATGGTGTGAG